GTCCATATGGATGGAAATCTACATTGACTTAGGGACAGATTAAATATCAATGTTAAGGGAAGAGCAAGATAAGATGAACAATTCCTAAGTATACAACTTGGTATTCTATCAGGACCCGGTGAAAATTAGAGCTTGAGAGTATTAAGACTCTGAAGAACATCAGATACATCAATCACTGGTTTGAAGATAGAGTTCAAATGAGGTAGTGGGTATGGATAATCTTTATTATGACATTATTGCATTTCGTATATGTGGATTGAAAAAAGTCTACGAATAAGTTGCAAATATCATTATCATCAGATGCTACATTCTTATTGAGAAAGAGAGAGGGAGGAAAGCAGCTAGATTTCCGTTTAGAATTGACGAAAGAAAAGAAAAGCTTAGGATTACTTTTGAAATCACGCTTACAACGAGACATGTAATTTTTGTAACAATCAGAATTGTACTGGACAAATTCCACCTTAGCTGAACTATATTTGGTGAAGTCTGTCTGTAAGCCGGATATTTTGAAACGTTTAAATAGTCTGGTTTTTTTATTCTTCAGATAAGATAGTTGACGGGTAAACCATGGAGAGCTGTAAGAATTCTTCATGGAGGAAAAAGGGACATGTTCATCAAATAGACGGTAAAGGATCTCATAAAAGTACCTAACTGCATCATCAACAGGAAGGTCAACTAGAAAAGACCAGCTTACTGTCGATAAAGATTCCACTAGTCTGCCGTAATCAGTCCTCTTAAAACACAAACTAGGCTGTACATTTATTGCAGTCCTAGGATTATTAAAAATTCCATTAATACAGAGCTGAAAGGTAGGATGATAACAATCTTCAGGTAAAGATAGTGGCGAAATACGACTGACTTCAGCATCGCTACTATCAAAAACAAAGATTAAGTCAAGAAGACGACCAATATGATTGGGAATCCTGTTAACTTGCTGCAAAGATAGTTCAACAAGACCATCAATAAAATCATTTTGCATCCTAGGAATCATTGCCAATGAGTCCTTACTCTCCAACCAAGAGATATTGGGAAGATTAAAGTCACCAAGCACAATAAGTTGGTCAGTTTCAGTAAGCAACAAGGAGATAGAATGTATGGCGGACAGGTGCAATAGATACACGTTAAATTCAGAGCCAGGAGATATATACGAGCAGGTTAAAAAAATGTTTCTTTTTGGGAAAGATAATTTTACGGAAATAAATTCAATACCTGATGATTCAGAAATATCAACAAACTCAGAAGTTAAATTGGATTTGACTCCAATAAGAACGCCTCCACCTCGACGGGTCTGACGATCCTTCCGATAAACAAAAAAGTTATTAGACAAAATCTCACTGTCGTGTACGGATGGGTTAAGCCGGTCTCAGTGAGTACAATAACATTGGCCTCAAAAATTGAACTATTTATATAAAGCGTAGAGAGTTTACTAAGAAGCCCCCGAACATTCTGATAGTGCATTAGGAAATTTAGTTTTTTGAATTTATGTCAGAGCTGGGCGCCGACAAAGAAGTCATGGAAAGGGAGCTATTTTTATACCCGTTACTCGTAGAGTAAAAGGGTATACTAGATTCGTCGGAAAGTATGTAACAGGCAGAAGGAAGCGTTTCCGACCCCATAAAGTATATATATTCTTGATCAGGATCACTAGCCGAGTCGATCTAGCCATGTCCGTCTGTCCGTCTGTCCGTCTGTCCGTCTGTCCGTCTGTCTGTCCGGATGAACGCTGAGATCTCGGAAACTATGAGAGCTAGGCTATTGAGATTTGGCGTACAGATTCCTGAGCTTCTTACGCAGCGCAAGTTTGTTTCAGTAGACTGCCACGCCCACTCTAACGCCCACAAACCGCTCAAAACTGTAACTCCTACAGTTTTGATGCTAGATAGAAAATTTTAACTGAAATGTATTGTTCTCATCAATACCTATAGATTGACCTAAAAAAAGTTTGCCACGCCCACTTAAACGCCCACAAACCGCGAAAACCTGTGACGCCCACAATTTGCATGCTAGATAGAAAATTTTAACTGAAATGTATTGGTGTCGTCAATACCTATCGATTGATCCAAAAACACGCCCACTCTAACGCCCATAACGATTAAATCTGTCTACCGCCGGTAGGTGGCGCATTTTAATCTCGCTTTGCTGCTTGCATATCTCCATTTCCCTTTGAGTAACGGGTATCTGATAGTCGAGGTACTCGACTATAGCGTTCTTCCTTGTTTTTTATATACTCGTGGACAATTATATCAGCAGGGCAAAAATTGGGGCAAAGAAGTTTAGAGAACAGCCCATCCGGAACAAGTATTTTAAATGAATTGAGATTACTATCTCTTATCTGTTTAAAATTAAATTTGGTGATGTCAACACCATTTTGATTGGGAAGGGAGAGGTTTGTGACAATATGATGCATAACGTCATTTACTGTTATTGCTGCATTCAACCTAGACACAAAAATAGATTTCCTAGGTACCATGACAGTGAGTGGTACCGGAGAGCAGGGCTATGAGTGTTTTTCCTAGGGATCATGCTAGTAAGTGGGACAGGAGGAGGTGCAAGGGTATTAGCTATAGGCAGTACAAGGTGCGGCAGAGCCCCGGAAGTGGCAACAGCCGGTGAATGGTTAGTAGGCCTTAATGACTCAGGCGAAACTACAGTCCCCGAATCTGGCAGCGATTGCCCCGTGGCGTCATTCGTTGATGACTCGATCCCAATGGGATCATCCTCGTCGCACGACACATAGCCTGCAGTGGGGCTGGGAAGAGAGAGGTTGGTCGAGAGATCTGGAAAATGTAAAGAGACATTAGGCAGTGTAGGACTACGATTTGTATTTAATGAAGATTGACTTAGAAGAATCCGACCTTTAAAGTTGGAGTCGCAGACATTAAATCGACTTATTAAGTCCGTAAATCCAGCACGTAATGCCTGGAACTCCAGCTCCGTTTGCCACATAAATGCTCTTATATCGATTTTGATATGTAGGCATGTAGGGCACGTCCAGTTCAGGTTAGCATTAGATCTAGTGCGATCAGCAATTTGGGCAGCACTATGCCCAAAGTCTACACATTTTGCGTGCGCAATGTTCTCACATAAACAGCAACTAACAATTGGCTGCCGAGAAGTGATTTTACCAACAAATTGGCAACCAACAACACAGCAGGCAGACATTGTTTACAAGTTGAGGTCAGTTAAATGTAGAATGTAGAAAAAGTAGGAAGCTTTAGATGAGTGCCAACAAACAGCTGTGTGGCTTTGCAAAACGCAGAGGTAAGATAAGAAAAGAGAGCGGTAAGACCAATTCAGCAAAGACCCGTTAACTCGAAAATGAGAGCCGGTGACTGGATTTGGGAGAATGTAGCAGAGCGAACGGTGCGAGAGAGCGCCAAAACAACAATGTACATAAGAAACAACAACAATAAACAAAGCACCCGCGTCTTTAACTATTATCCAATATAATAATAAAGATAATGGTTTTAACACAAATAACTAATTTGCATGCAAACGGCGGCCTCAACCGAGTTGAAAATGTAAACTTTGGAAATATATCTGATCGGTAATTTAGACACTAGGCGAATAAATGTAGGAGCAAATATAAAACGCGTCCGTGTACAACAGAGACCGAATTTCTTTATGACACAGCGGACAACCTTCTTGTTGTTTCTCTTTGTGTCCGTGAACTTCGCGATCATTTCGTCGAGCATCTTGCCCAGCTCATCGGTGAGAGCTGCGGCGCTTTTTTGCACCCGCTGCTTCTTCTTGGCTCCATCGATCGCCTCTTCAGGGCTGGTTGGTTCCCGACTTCTCTTCGGGGTGGTTTGCTCATCCTCGTTACTGCCGAAGGTGAACATTGGCCCAGTCACTTTGGGAGGCGCTGACACTGGGTGGGCATCGGGTGCCGGCTCCATCCCCGTTGGCGACCGCTGCACCTTCTGTTTCATCATCTGAAACTTCTTTAGCAGCTCTTCTTCTGCCCTGGCAACGGCAAGAGCCTGGGTCTCGTCATGTCCGGACGATTTCTCCTTATCCATCGCCTGCACTAGTCGGAGGTCCCTCGGTGAGCCGGGATTTCGCCCGGTTACTGCCTGATGGGAGCTATACCGCTCCGGCTCGGTCCCCAGAGCCCCGTTTGAGCTGGCGCCGCTATCGCGGTGGGGTTGGAAACTGGCCGGTAACTTGGCCATGAACATGTTCCTTGTCTTTAGTAGTAATTTCAAGTCCTCTTTTGAAATCATATTTCCAAATGTATTAATAAAAAAATTTATTTTATTTATTAAAGAAGAATAAGTCGGTATATTAAGATTGTTATTAGAATCAGTCATTTCTTAACACCATCCCGAGCATGTAATGAACAATATGGAAAGTGATTTCCATCCATTATTTTTTAGAGAGGGACAACCAATTTCATCAATGTTAATTACATCATCAATTTTTAAAAATTTTTGTAGGAATAACATTTTTTGATTTCCCTTACAAATTATTTCCTGTTTTCTAATTATTTCTCTTAAATACATTTGTGTTTCTTTGAAAAAGTATACTCCATCATTCCAATAAATGTTATGATGTTTTTTTGTTAGCCAAGTAGCTGTTTTTCTACATTTCTTATTCAATTCAATAAAATCATGTGGACTCTCCAAAATAAGAATTCAAGATTGTCTCGTTTTTGAATACGACTCCAATTTCTTTTAGAATAAATTTATTATTATTCCCAAGAAATCCTTGAACATCAATTGCAACAATGTCTTCACTCATGATTGATTGATTAATTGTTAGACAATCCGCTGAACTAGACCATTCAACGGGATATATTCAACTAAACGATCATGTATGAGCACGCAATATACTTGAACATTTTCGATAGTGGGCTTGGTAAGTTCAATTGAAATCCTAACATCAATGGGTCCCGATTTAACCATTTCATTTTGATATGATAAGTCAATTACGATAATAGAAGCTTTAGTTTTAAACTCTGTAGGTGATAGTAAGGGAGATTCACTTCGGTTATACACAGAAAAAAAACCGAGCCAGGATCAATTTGATATGCGCATGGTAAATTTGTGTTTTTTAGACACATATCATTTTTACCATCAAATAATGTCAAATTGATACCAAAAAATGTCAAATTGTCGATTTCTCTCTTTTCGGAAATTTGTTGACATCGAAAAAGAGAGGATGTAGCAATATGGCGACATCAATCACGTGAGTGGAAGCGAAAAGGATATATTCGAAATTCGAATTGGGCTAATTCGAACATGTTGTCTCGCTTGCACTAGGATGCGTTTTAGTGGATTTTTTGCCACTTGAATTTTATTTTGATGCAGGTCGGACGTGCATGGTCAGTGTAGTGTTTCTCCAAGTTGAAAAAAACAGGTAAGTAAACTTCATATATAATGTGTATACGTATAAAATGTTATAAGAACATAATAAGTGGAAAAAAATAAAATCGTGTGCGGTTTTCTGAGTGGCTTTTACTATACGACTGCCCTACGACAAGAAAAACACGTGCAACTATGTGTGTACATACATACATACGTACGTATGTAAGCGTGCGTATCTGTAGAGGCTGCGCCGGCGTGAAAACAAATTTAACAAGTAACATAACATAATTGCATTTAAAAATTAATTTTTATTTCTACGCCGTCCTGCAAAGTCGCTTCTCATACACACTTATGTATGTATGGACAGATGCACGTACTTTTCATTGCCGTAAGAATGAATGTGCGTGTGAAAAACTAAAAATGCGCAAGTGAAACTAACTAAATTTTCGCTAAATCAAGACACACATTGTCATACACACATAGTTACGCATGCACATACATATGTATGTATGGACAGATGCACGTGCTTTTCATTGTCGTAAGAATGTGCGTGTGGGTAGTTTAAAAAAATGCATAAGTGAAATTTATATATCGAGAGTTGTCTTATCGGGACTGTCTTATTGGTAAATATAAAACAAATATAGTGTATTGATTTACAATTTTGGTTTTCAGATTGTTGTTTTACTTTCCAAAGGCTCAAATATATAAACGATAGCGACTTGCTGCATATATTCCCAAAAAGAGAGCAGTGCGGGATTCTGGATATTCTGGATATTCTGGAAAGTTTTTGAAAAACAATTTTTGTTATTACCCAGTTAATTGAAGTTTCCAATTTTAGCGAGCATTATCAAGCTTATGTGGTGGGTGCTGAATTGGAAAATTATAAGATTGATAATATAGAAAACTTTGAGGGCCCGCCGATTCATTTGTACATAAACTCTAGTAATAAGCTAATAAGAATAAAGAAATTTTAGTTAATAAGTATATATAAGTACAAAAATAAAGATTCAACGTAAATATAAAAAAAAGTGTAGATATGAAATATATATTTAAGTACAAAAATAAAGACTCAATGTAAATATAAAAGAGGTGTAAATATGAAATACAAATTCTTTGTAAAAACTGTAATAGGTAATAAAAACGTATAATCAAAAAGATTTGGTATATTATTATTTATTTAAAATTTTGTTTGACATTATAATATTAAGTTTACAATAATATCATTTTGGTATTTTTAATATCCAATCTACTACAATGTAGATTTGAAATTATAATATCAAATTTACAATAATATCAATTTGATATTTTTAATATCCATTCTACTACAATGTACATTTGAAATTACAATATCAAATTTACAATAATATCAAATTTACAACAAAAACATTTCAAAAACTTGATACGCTATAATGTAAAAATGATATTACCGAAATATCGTTTTTACATTTTCGAACATATCAAATTGATATGTGCCGTATCTAGGCCGAATTGATACTGGATTTCATCAAATTGACCATCATATCATATCAATTTTTTTTCTGTGTAGTAGCTAGATTGAAACTTGCAATACATTTCATATAGGTGAGCAAATCGTTTTTTTTCAAAGTCCAAGTTTAAGTCATCGTAGGGATATGTTTCAGAGTTTAAGTAGACCTTTAGATTTCTTAAATTGTTTGTAATCAGATGGTGGTTATCTTTAAATCCAATTAAAGCAAATCGTGGACGTCATCGGTTAGAAGCTAATTTAACATTCAAAACATGATTTGTTCCATTACTTAGTTTAGGATTAATGTATGTTTCCCAACTACGGAATGCAATCGGTAGATTGGTTCCACTTTTTATAATATCATACATTTGAATTCTCGTTGAATCGCTGGTTGTTATATAAGGAATTTTCCATGTAATATTAGTCATATTGAGATGCTATTTTCGATTAATTGTGCACTCTCAAATTTATCTTGCTCAAGTACATCATTAAAGTTTTTTGATATTAATAGTACTAGTTCATGTTTACAATTTAATAATACTTTTTTGAAATCTTCAGCAAATCCAAGTAGATTTTTAAGGGGTATTGAAAAGTTAAAGTGGGGGTTAAATTGAAACCGGGTCCTCCACTCCATCCGGAATTGTAAAGTCTCTTGCTTTCAAATTGATTTAAAGAAACAAAGTTTTTTGTTGTAGAAGTAATACCACTAAATCTTGTTCTATCTATCTCGACACCATTTATTTCATATTTCATCTTAAAAGTATGCCATACAATTATTTCTCATTCTCGCAATAGCATTTTGAGTTTCTACCGCTCCCCCTTCCTTAATTAGGGTAATACCTCCTTACAAATTTAGAAGACTCTGATGGGGGAGTACATGTAAATCTTGATTTTGGATTGTAATTCTTATCTCATCATTTGGTTTAAATGATTGTTGATAGGGTTGATAGCTGTGATATTCCTTCTTTGATATACTTTCATCAGAGAAAGGTTAATATTTCATTCAACCCCATGACTTTAGTTAAACTCGCACTTTGAAGCCCAGTGATTTAAGAATTAACTTTTTTTGTGTGTCTTTTTGGTTTCGATCCTCTTCCTATAACTTTTTGTTTTAAAGTGTGCTGATGATGGTAAGTATTACCTCTTTTATTGTATATAATCATTGTATTAATCTTAAATGTAAACGAATTGTATAGTTTTCACCGCGTAAATTTATTAGTTCACCGTTCTGATCAGTTATTTCTCTAGTGTTGACTGGTAAGTAAATAAGATTGTGTGGTGTGATATTCATTTTATAGCCTGGTGGAACATTAATTCCAAATTCGTATAATGAATGATCTTGTCTACTATCAATATATGATCCGTTTACAATATTACATACTACACGTATTGTGTTTATTTTTAAAATGTTGACAGGTTGATCAGATATATATGTTTTTTTCAAGTCGGGGTAAATTATTTTTTTATTGAAACCAAGCAATTGTCCAATGGAATTGTTTCTATTAAAGTAAATAGGTTCCTTGGTAGTTGTAATATGAACTTGAAGTGTGTTATTATTACTCTCCATTTGAAATGTTTTCTCAAGATCATAATCTTTTAGTTTATTTTTAAAAAAAAAACATAAATATCATTGAGTTCATATGATCCTATTGGAGGTTGAATTACTTTATCACCAATATGAAATAGATTATTGTTTATATCAACATTGGGTATAGAGTTGATAAGTGCACACTCATATTCACCATTTGTCAGTTCAATGGGTGGGAAATAAGAAATGTTTGTAATGGGGTCATTGCCATTTAATGTAAGAGTGAATGATCTACTCATTTTGGGATCTAATAATGTACTGTGAAAATATAGCTTACAGAATGAAATTTATATTCTCAAATAATTATAAATTCATTCAAAACCCTTCCTGTATCTTCCTTTTTCCATATTGTTATCTTTACCTATTATGAGGAATCCGTATTTATCACTCCAACACTTTTGACAAATTTTCATTAATGAATCATATGACATATCAGTATTTACATGATCACGATATATATGACGCATATTTAAATCATCTTGCTTAAACATTATAATCATATTCGCGTTATCACGTATTAGATGTTTTGGAATATGAGCATATGTTTCACATAGGTAAAAAGAATATATATTTTTATGACGTCCCATACAGAAATATGAACGAATGTTGCTTTGTTTTTCACAAGCAACATCATCAAAAATCATAATAGAGTTTTCTTTAGCCTTAGTGGGTGGTAAAACTTCATCATTTTGTGAGAACGTATAATATCCCATTTCCCTTATCGGTTTAATTAGTTTCTCTATATACTCATACTTTGGTTGATAAAAGCTCTTTGAGAATACATATATATTCTCAAATTTAAGCCCGTTTGGACTTTAAATAAGGCTGAGTATAACATATGTTTTTCCACAGTTTCAGGGACCGACAACCAATGCTCTTATTGTATTGGGTAATAAAGAACTATGTCGTGGAACTGAATTTGTTAATGAATGATCACCACCCTCGATATTTCTAACACAGATTTCTTGTTTTTGACGTATTAAAGGCATATTCACTTGTGTAATGTACTTCATTCGATGAGAAATGCTCCTTGATTAAACATTATATAAAATGGGTAAAATTTTTTATAATTGTTGCAGTCAGAGTTCAAACTTGAAACGAGGTAGTGGTATTATCAACAAAATAATTAACACACTTCCATTTGAAGTACATATTCCCGGTTATATGTTTTGTGGACCTGGAACAATGCTTAAACAAAGGTTGGAGCGCGGTAATCGTGGGATAAATCAATTGGATGAAGCTTGTACAGTACATGATATTGCATATTCACAATATAAGGATCTAGCTGATCGACATTAGGCTGACGCAGTACTAATAAATAAAGCGTGGGAACGTGTTGGTTCAAAAGATAGTAGTATTGCAGAGAAAACAGCAGCATACTTGATTACAAATATTATGAAAACAAAAAAGAAATTCAGAATGGGTGTGAAAAACGGAACAAAGAGAAAGTGTAAGAAAAGGAAATCAAAGGTAAAGAGTTTTTCAAATGTTATCCAAACAGGAATACGGGCATTGAAAACTCGGAAGCCACTAGATCTAATGCGTGCGATTAAGGTTGCACGTAAAGCAGCCAATAAATCAATTGGTAGAAATAAAAAAATTATTAAGATTCCTCGTATTATTAATGTACCGAAAATTGGTGGTTTTTTACCTATTGTACTCATTTTGACTGCACTAAGTGCATTAGGTAGTCTCGCCTCTGGTAGTGCAGCCATTGCTAAAACTATCAACAATGCAAATATGGCGAAAAAACAATTAGAAGAAAGTAAACAACATAATAAGAAAATGGAAAGTATTAAGGTGGGTGAAGGTATGTTTCTTAAACCTTATAGAAAAGGTTATGGATTATATCTTAATCCATTTAGAGGAAATCCAAAAAACTAATTACTAAGCTACCTAAAAACCTATTACAAATTTAGAAATTTTGAATTTTGCTCAAAAGTACATTCCACATTTCCGAGGTGTGTTTATGAGAGAGTCACTACCAAAATATCCTTGGAGAGAAGAGTCAGGAATTATAAATCTAGATGATAGTTCATCAAATGGTACACATTGGGTAGCTTATAACAAAAATAAAAAAAGTATATTTTACTTTGATAGTTTTGAAAATTTACAATCCCCAAAAGAAATTGTGAAATACTTGGGGAATAACAATAACATTAACTATAACTATGAGAGAAGACAAGCCTTTAATAGTACCAACTGTGGACACCTGTCCCTCCAATTCTTACTCTCTATCCCACCCTAACCTTTTCTTTATGATCAAGTAATTTCTCTATGATTCTTGAAACCCACCCTATTTACATGCTATTCACTGCTATGATTGGTCGATTCTAAATCAAGAATGAGATAGAACAGGGAGGGTTAGTTTACCTCAAGGTATAAAAACTCGATCAAAAGTTATTCTAACTCACATTTAAAAACCACCTGAAAACAGTCTCAACCTAAAAGTTTCAAGCTAAAACGTTCTCAGCCTAAAGTTTCAACCTAAGAAATCTTGCAATCATCAAAATCAGCAACAAGAAGAACAACATAAAAAACAGTTAAAACAGTAAAACAATTAAAACAGATACAACTGCTAAAAACAGCTGAAAACAACAACAAAACAGCTACATCTGCTAAAAAACAGGTAAATTAAACAACAAAAACAGTTACAACTGCTAAAAAACAACTAAAATCAACAACAAAAACA